GTCACCAATATCACCGAGCATATTGAAGGATTTCCATCTACTAACATTGCGATAATATTACATGTATTATCCACATGTGCGGATTGATGAAATTGAAGTGAATATCACCACAATATCTTTCCAATGCAATCAATCTGCTGCATCTATATGATTCTGTCATGTCTGCATTGTCATGTCCGCATGTAATATTTTAACTTTATCATAAATTAATTATTAGATAGATGATAAGCAATAAATAGCTATATATGTAATTATCCTAAAAAAATTGTAATTAGATATTTTATGTAAATTATATCAGGCTAGATTTGCTTAAAAATTAGTATTGTATATGAAAATTTTATATTTCACTAATCTCTTAAGTATATCTTAATGTTATTTTTTTTCAATTTTGATTTATAAAATATTTACAATGCCATTTCGCTATATATATATTATAATTGATAAAGCCACTATTATTATTATTATTACTTTTATTATTATTTAATTATAGCAAGATTAAATCTCTAAATTTGAATTTAACTTGATGTGAGAAATAGATTTGCAGAAAACAAGATTGAAATTAAAAACCTTGTCTCATAAAAATGAATTAACAGTGAGACATCTATTCAAAATGATAAATATAACATCATTTTTTAATCAAAATTCAATACAATTTCTGAACAAATGCACACTACAATTTACTTAGACTATAAGATAATATAATACTCAACATCATTATCTATCAGAGATTTCTTAACATAAATTTTTTTGAGGCATTTACAGGCGCGACGGTGAGGTTGGAATGCAAACACTTTCAGAACGATGCGGTGGAACACAGCATTGAGGCCGTCAGTGGCGCCGACGGTTATTATACATTCATTGTTCCCAATGATCACGAGGAGGAAATTTGTTATGTGAAGCTGATTAAGAGCCCGAGGGCTGATTGCGCTGAGTTCGTTGAGAACAGAGAGCAGGCGCGCATTCTGCTTACCGAAAACAGCGGTCAGGCCAACAACTTGCGTTATGCTAATGCGTTGGGCTTTCTCAAAGATGTCGCACTTCCAGTATGCCCCGAGCTGCTCAAGGCCTACGAAACTGATGATGATTTTTAAATAATTAAAATGGAGATATATGATGATTTATTTATATGTTTTTTGGTTTCATGGAAGTTGTTATAAGAATATAAGTGATTGATTCAAGGAACAATTCATGGGGGTATGAGTATATTGGGAATGGGTTGTTGATGAAGTTGCAATTTCTATTTATTGTGAAAGATTGTTTTGTGTTTTTTCTTTCCTTTTTCCTATGCAAAGTTCGGAATAAATTTATTATTTTTTGTCTATGTAATGCAACTCTCAAATAAGTTGTGAAAAATAGGGCATAGAACTTTTCATGAAGCCTGATTTGTAGCCCTCAATACATAACAAATGAACATATATGACTATTCATTAAACTTTTTTGCAAGGCCAAATGTTCTGTACAGGGTCATGTATCATTGAATAGTTGAAACAATAATAACTAAGGCAACATTTACATACATAACAATCAAATCCTATGCATTTTTATAGTGACACCTAAATTTTGCTTCTACATTTATGTTGCCTAAATTAATAATGTCACATAAGAAAAAATATCATCATTTTAAGTCTTGAAAAGTGAAATGCAACTTTTCATTGCTTAGGTCAAGTGGCATGTATGTAATTAATTTACAAAATCTTAATTTTGTCTTTTTGTCATTGTTTCTTTTCTTGCTCCCCCCCCTTTTTTTTTTTTTTTTTTTTTTTTTTTTTAACGATATCTTCCTAGTTTCTCCCATTCATGTTTACTCATGCTTTGCGCCTCACAAGCCGGTGGTTGTTCACTTGCTCAAGTTTAGTGTTCTTCTTTTATTCCATTTTGAATAATCACTCTCATCTCTGAGAAAATATTACGTCTGGACGACGGTTTGGATGACAACATGCCGACGAATGCAGGTGTGGTGTGATTCACGCCGTCATCTACATATCCAGTTAACCGAACGTAATATATCTTCCCCCTTTCCGTAGGGATGTCAGTTCAAGCGAACAAATCGAATAAATATGATTAACACGATCTTCTTTCATTATCATATGGGAAAAAAATTTGTTCCAAACACTATTTCAAACAAATTTATTATTTGGATTTGGCAGCAATATTGGAAATTCATCTAACTTGACTCGAACACACATAATCCTATCTCAAACAGTTATGATGTTATTTTTGGGTTATTTATAAACTTGACCAAAATAAGAAATAGCCTTACATTTTAGACCAATGATTTGATCTGAATAGTAATAAGGTCAACCAAAATATATTTTCTTTGAATCAAATTAAGTTCTAGCTTCTCATTGACATAAATATATATATATATATACATATATATATATATATATACACGAGAAAAGAGCCCTGGGGCGCGCTGCGCT